GCCTTCAAACATGCCGTGGTTAAGCCACTACTTAAAAAGAAAAATCTCGACCCCTCCATTCTCGCAAATCTTAGGCCCATCTCCCAGCTACCTTTTTTATCAAAAGCCCTGGAGCGAGTAGTCTACGCCCAGCTGCAGTCTTTTTTAACCATCCATGGAATCCATGAAAAGTTTCAGTCTGGCTTCAAACCCATGCACAGCACTGAAACAGCCCTTTTAAGAGTTTTTAATGATCTGCTCCTAGCCGCCGACTCAGGTAGCCCAGCTGTGTTGGTGCTGTTAGACCTGACGGCTGCCTTTGACACTGTGGACCATAGCATCCTGCTGTCACGGCTTGAACAGTCCGCTGGCATCACAGGCTCTGCCCTTGCATGGTTCAGGTCCTACCTGACAGACCGTAGCTTCTCAGTGCAGCTAGGTGCCTTCTCCTCTGCCAAAGCCCCTCTTACCTGTGGGGTTCCCCAAGGCTCGATTCTGGGCCCCATCCTTTTTCTACTGTACATACTGCCCCTAGGTTCAATTCTCACAAAACATAATATTCCCTTCCACTGCTACGCCGACGATGTACAGATCTATCTGCCTCTCAAAGCAAATGTCAAACACTCACTACAGCAGTTGATGGACTGCTTAGTAGAGATAAAATCCTGGCTGAGCAAAAACTTTCTCAACCTCAACGAGAGCAAGACTGAGCTGGGCTCTATCAAAAAAAACATCCTCCCCTCGGTCATGAACCTTGGAGTGACCTTCACTAGCACTTTTAAATTCGACAAGCAGGTCAGCACCGTAGTAAAATCCTGCTTTTTTAAAATAAGACTATTGGCCAAAACCAAGTCGTATTTATCTTTTAATGACATAGAAAGGGTTATTAACGCCTTTGTAACCTCGAGACTGGACTATTGTAACGCTCTGTATGTGGGTATGGACCAGGCCTCAATTAAACGCCTACAGCTAGTCCAAAACGCTGCTGCACGTTTGCTGACTGGCCACAAAAAGCGTGACCACATCACCCCTATTCTGGCCTCACTACACTGGCTTCCAGTTCGGTTCAGAATTGATTTTAAAATCCTTTTATTTGTTTTTAAAGCACTAAATGGGCTGGCTCCGGCCTATATAGCTGAACTGCTCCAGCGCTACACCCCAGCCAGAGCTTTAAGGTCTGCTGACCAGCTGCTGCTGGTAGTGCCCAAGACCAGGCTTAAAACCCGAGGGCACCGAGCCTTCGCAGCAGCTGGCCCTAGGCTCTGGAACACTCTGCCCCTCCATGTGAGGTCGGCCCAGACCCTAGGGGTTTTTAAATCTAAACTAAAAACACACTTCTTCTCTCTGGCTTTCTAGTTAGAGCGGAGCACGACTCCTGACTTTTCCGTGTGTTTTATTTTTATTTTGTTTTTTAAGATATATCGTTTATTGTGATTGTAGTAATGTGTTTTTATTACATGTACAGCACTTTGGCTCGACCAAAAATCGCTTTTAAATGTGCTATATAAATAAAACTTGATTTGATTTGATAATGGAGTGTAATAAAACTACTATGAACAAAAGCTTGTGGTTCATATTAGGCTAGCAATAACGTGTTTATAATTGCAATATTATACGGGTATTCTGCTACGTTCGGTCATACATTGTAACTTGCATGAATACATTGTTTTGCGCTAGCATACAGCTAGCCTCGTTAGCTATACATGCAGTATGTACATGTACTGTCACAATGTACGGTAAATCACCCGGAGTATACTGTATGAGTATTCCGTGTGTGTGACTGCAGACATTCTCCTGCCATGACAAACATGTAAGGCCATCTGCTGACATTGTAGTTGATATATTTAAACGCTAGCAACGTAGCATAACAAAAATGTTTTTCCGACCAAACTAAGGTCTAGCTCCGTCGGTTAGATCGCTAGCATACACGCTACGCCAGCTATAATGTAATTACGTTTCGCGACTGACCGTACGGTAAATCACCAGGAGTATACGGTCTATGACTATTTCGTGTGAGAATGCAGACATTATCCAACTATGAGGAACATGTATGTAAGGCGATCTGCTAATATTGGAGTTGATATATGGAAACGCTAGCAACTTAGTTAGCCCAGTTAGCACTATGTCAATGACTTACGAGTCCGGTTTACACATTTAACCAGTCGTGGTAGATACCTTGTTTGATAAATACACAAATAACAATGCAAACTTACAGGTTGTGTACCCGAATCTTCCCCTACTCCAAACGGTCCAAACAAACTATAGCCTCGTTGTTTGTGTAGCTCGGTAGCATACACGCTCGGAACGCCAGCTATAATGTAATTACGTTTCGCGACTGACCGTACGGTAAATCACCTGGAGTATACTGTCTATGAGTATTTCGTGTGTGAATGCAGACATTCTACATACATGTATGTAAGGCCATCTGCTGATATTAGAGTTGATATGGAAACGCTAGCAACTTAGTTAGCACAGTTAGCACTGGCTTAGCAGTCCGAAACATGTTTACACATTTCAACAGTCGTGGTAGATACCTTGTTTGATAAATACACAAATAACAATGCAAACTTACAGGTTGTGTACCCGAATCTTCCCCTGCTCCAAACGGTCCAAACAAGCTGTGCATATCCGGCCTCAAACTAGGCAATGTTTTGGAAGCTTTCGTCTGTGAAATGCCGGTTCTTCGAACCTCTGAAGGAACAGTGTTAAAAAGACATTTCAACCACTGACTTCGTCGTGGTTCTTCCGTCGGTAGGACAAACAGCTCAGATTTATCCTCACATTTCAGGAAACAGGTCCTTGGCATTGGCATGACTGGATCGATTGTGAACTGAACCAGAGCTTCCAACAGTAAATGTTAGGCTGGCAGAGGGTGCGGCCAGCGCCGCTGGGTGTGGCCATAGCTCTTCGGGATTGGTCCATTTCGTTCCGGGTACCGCATGACATCAGGCCGTACCCGGAACTAAATGGAAGACTCAAATGGGCAGTGACGTATCTCCAACGAGGCGTTTTGGGGAGGTATTTTCTGTGTTAGAGTTTTACTCGCTACAGGGTGTACTTTGAGGGTTTTGACTCTGCACACCGTTTACATGCATAAAAACCTTCATAACACACAAGGGGACGGGTAATAACCGGAAAAGCATGACATGGGAGCTTTAAGGGCTATGTTTGATGTCTTTTAAGTATCACCTGCTGGGGTTTAGCTGCTGTCCTGTGCCTTCTTAAATTGTTTGTTTACGTCCCTCACTTCCATTTCGCTTCTCATTTGCTAGCTGAACAGCTGATCAGAGTGGTTTCTTGGCCCAATAGCTTGTGTCCGACAAATGGCCGATTCAACATGTTGAATCGGCCATGTGTCGACTGTGAAAGGCCAAATAAGGCGTGTCACGGCCGAGGGTTCGGGACACACCAAATTGACTTTGGGCGACAGGGCACGCTTTGTCGCCAGACAACCGAAGACGGCCGATATCGGCCTGGTGTGTCTGGGCTTGAAGACACACACTCACATGTGTTTTGCAACTGTAGCTTCATCACGTACACACTTTCTTTAGCAATGAACATGTATTCAACTAAGACAATCCCTTATTTTGGCTAAGTTACAGCTCAGTCTGTGGCTGTGACAGTCAAGTATTATATTATACAGGTGCCCACTATAAGAGATGAGACATATAAAGTACTAAAATATTTAAAAACATTATTTCCCATAAATCATTTGATGTGATGTAAGTAACCTCTCAACTTTGTTCAGCTTGAATTTCCTGGACAATGTGAGCTGTTTGTTTATTGTGCAGCCTTAGTTTGTATGTTTTACCAATATGTATGTTGAGAAATGACAGATGTTTTTGATAACTGCTATTATATATATATATAATAAATTCTTGGAAAGGCAAGTTCTTGTTGGAATCTTTTCAACTTTTAATACAGTGGCTCTTGAGGTTTATCTAGCTTTGCATTTTTAATTTTAAGTGCTTAATCTGTGTACCCTGGATTACATTCTTCACATTTCTGGTAATAGTCAAACATATATATATACGAAGGCAGTGTAGTTTAAATGAAATCTTTCAATCTGACTAATGTATAGGAAAAACATTTTTTTTCCACTGAGCAATAATCCTTACAAGCGGTTTTATACTATATATTTGAGATTGATATTCATAGAACAGTTTTTTCTGCATTTTAATTGTAAAAAATACATTTTACAGAAAATTTAAATTGCAGTATTTAGATGTTGCTTTCACCGTAAAACTCGTCATTACTACGGCAAAATACACTAAATTATACACAACTTTTGATTACAATTTGCGGGAACATTCAGTTAAATTACAGCATTACACTGATGCTTTTACAGTTAAACAGTGTTATTTGTTTGGTATTTTTCTGTAAAATTGAATGGGATTCAATGTACAATAGACAACAACTGCATGTAAATCTTACTGAAATAATCAGTTTAATAGCAATGTGATCATGCTAATTCAGCAGAAAAGGGCTGTTGGAATTACAGATTTAAAATGTAAATTACAACAGTTTTAAACTGTAAAATATACACGTTGTTCTGTAAAGTTGTTTACAGTTTACCGTATTTTTTACATCATTATTCTGGCAACAAAGCTGCCAGGTCTTTACCGTAAAAACAACGTTTTTTTTTTTTTTACAGTGTAGGCTTCATTGAGGTCACCTTTTCTATAGTTCCTAGTTTAAAAAAAGTTGCATTCAAATAATTTTAGTATACAATTTGAGTGCATAAAGTAGATCATTTTCATCAGGAATATAGTGGTTTGCGTAAGAGAAGCCTAGCTTTGCATCATCTTGTTCCAAAGCCTGTTTTGGCTTTGGTTAATACCTGGCAGAATGCAAACTTCACCGTTGTCATCCACCTGTCTTACTCTCCCTTCCAATCTTTACTGGATTGGATCCAATGGCATTTGGTGAGCTGACCTGAAGATCAAAAGGTACAACTGATGAAACCATGAACAATTATTCTACCTCAAACGACATTTACATAATAACACACCGTGATATTACATTTTCGAAGAGGGGATTTATTTTGGACACTGCATTCCACAGTATACCGTCTGGACAGAGGTCACCTATGATCAAACATTCATAAATCAACAGGAACATAGGATTTGAATGCACGTTATGGAAATGTTAATCACACAAGGGCAGTAAACTCAACCGTTACGTCATCATGAAACTGTTGAACATTTAATTGGAACATAATAACTTGTTACACTTAGTGTACAACATTGACACACTGATAAAACCTCTACAACAGATGTGCTATTTAAACCTGCGCATGAAGCCTTTTGGGTTTAAGACAAAGTAACCATGACTTTCCTTCATTTACGAAAAAAAAATTAATGCACTAAGGCATTAATAATGGTGATAAGGCAGGTAAGCATTTATATATATATTCTTTTTTTTAATAGCATATATTTTCATTGTGCCTGGCAGCTGGATTAGAATTAGGACTTGCATCTTAATTTGAATAGCTTCATGCTTTTGAGATATTAAAAGAATTATCCAAATAAATTCAAAGCAGATAGACAACAACAATGTAGAGACGAAGACAGACACACATGTAAACACAGACACATACTGTTCATGCAGTCTCTGATTAAATGGGTTTTCATTTAGGATAATCTGTATCACAAATCCACTAACCTGTTTCCTCTATTGACTGAAAGTGTATTAGGTCTATTGTGGGTTAACAAATATTTTAACAGTGACTTGGAGGAGGGTTATATTCACAGACAAATAAATATAAGTTGAACACCAACTAGAAACAACCTGGATATTTTCTGAGATCTATGTTTTACATTTGAGTAAAACCCGAAAATGTAGGAGAACATGTTTTCTCTAACATTAATAAATGATACTTTTGCGAGAAAACATTTAAAATGTATTCCCGTAAATTTGTGAAATAAATTCTCATATTGCTTATAAATGTATTATGTTTTTGAGATATGAGAGAAATACAATTGAATAATTCTCTGAGATAATAAGGTTATAACAAGAATATAATCAGATAAAAGTAACTTTATGATCTCATATCCACGTTGCTCGCAGCCAATTTAAATTATAAAATTCTGATTTTCTTTCTCTGAAAATACCCTCCATCCAAGCTGCAAAATAATAATATTTTTTGTTTACCTACAAGGGCCTTAACACACTGAGGGGTTATTTAATTGATCTTTGCTATTTGTCATCAACCACCATCGTATAGATAATCTCTGTACATTTACCAAAAAATAAAACAAACAACATTGTACAGTACAAACACCTCACTGGCCTCAAAGCTAATTTGGGCCTGTTAAACATCTGACAGCAAAATACATCTAACCTTTATGTACAAATGTACACTGATGCAGTAGAATATGTCAAGGACATTCCAGGTATATAACCGTTAGGCACTAAAAGGTGTTTCAGTGTAACTTGGACCACCTTTTTCCTCCGGACTGATCCATAATAGACCCTGGCCTAAATCTGTGTTTTAAAATTAAAGCATAATCAAAACCACATTCCTAAATACTGTATGTGTGTGGAGTTTTATTCTTTAAACAGTTGAGGTTAATGGATATTAACGCTGTACACGTAAAAGTCTTGTTTTTTTGTGTGGGAGAAAGCTCCTAAATCTACAAGATGCAGAATACCTTGCGTTAATTCAATGAACTATACCAAAACATTACCATCATGGTTCAACAAATTGTGCAGCTCTCCATATACAGAAAAAGCAAGATATTCAAAACATGCATTTCCACCAAAATGAACCAGCAAAATATGAAAATATTTCATATTCAGTCCAAGATCTTAATGTGCTTCAAAATCCGTATCTAAAATAAAGTTAATATCGATAATCAGAATTTTTTTTTTTTAAAGTTTGGTTTACTCGAACTGTGAAAAATATAGATTGAAGCTAAACTAAACGATTTAAAATACATATAATTTTTTTAAAGTATCCACTTAACAACAGGTAAACAGCAGAATATGTTAAATGGCATTCAATAAGCTAATGTTGATTATGAGAGGGTTACAATTTAGAAGGAACATGCCGGTACTTTGACCCAGTGGCGTTACCTGCCTGCGATAAACCTTCCTCCTGTTATTCTCGTCACAGAGAGGATGAGCAGACCTCAGTAGTCTGCACATGCACTGTCCCTGGATCAGTGTTATCAGAAGTGTTAAAATACTGAAGCTCAGGATGGTTTATATGTCCATATCCACGGGTCGGACATCTCCGGTGTTGTTCTCCTTCACCCACAGCTCTCTGTCTCTGCCGGGGTCCACGTTCTGCAGCAGCTTGTCCACCGGCTCCACCGTCTGCAGAGACATGAGCCCATAAAACAGCAGCATTTAGTGTCATCACCTCATGTAAATACTTGAGTTTGTTCATCCAACACTTTGGATCAAAGCCAGAGCTTTCAACAACTACTTGGAATAAAATCAGGTATGTTTTTAAAGGAATATTTTAATTTCGGAAATACCGGTACACATAGCAAGTTAGATGAGAAAAACAATCATTTGATCTCATCAGACAGCTCTTTATCTAGACAATATATGTATAGAAACTTCATCAGGATAAACTCTTTTAATGTCATGTGGGGAAAAGCTTTGAGAGGTTTAAGGAAAAAAGCATTTTGATGCGATAACATTCTTCATCTTTTTGTAGCTTCCCATTAGTATTTATTGTGGGTAAAAATGTGAACCTTTAATGTGTTACAGTAATCACGTTTTAGCCTCAACATATACAAAGGGTCTCTGTGATGAGGTTAAATCACTGTTTTTGTTAATGGAGTCTGGTGGCTTTGAAGAGAGCATAGATAGCGGTTTCCTGTTAGGAAGGGCTGTCTGACAGCAAGGTAAGCATTTTGTTTAGGTGTCAAAAAATTATTTTGTGGATGCCTAAGGTCCACATCATTACATGTCTTGTGACATTCATTATTTGATCATTTGTTATTTTCCACCACTGGATACAATTCTGATATCTGCACATTAAATATAAGGCTAATGCAGCAGCGAGCTTAGCATAGCAAACGAAAGAAGAAAAGGTGGAAAGAAGAAGAAGAAGTAGACATACTTATTCATCTCTCCAGGGGGAATTCACAGAACAGTAGTAATGGAGGATGGGGACTTCGGTGACTGATATACTATATATATGATAATTCTGTATTCCTTTTCATTTTTTGCTGGGCAAATATTAGCTCACAGCCTCTCTGTGGCCATCAATGGTTGCATTCACCAGTGTACTATTTTATATTTCGAATATGTTTTGTCTTAATTATAGTTTGCCAGTCAAATTATTTTCTGTATTTGAGGATTTTTGCAGTTTTCTAGTACTCAATTGGACATCAAAGTTTACAGTCATTTTTTTCATCCATAATTGATCAAATTATCAGCTGAGAAAAATGATGAGCTGCACCAGTGATGTCAACTGGCTTTGACATGATTTCACGTGCCACTTGGTGTGAGAGTGGATGTTTGACAGAAGGCGCCCTGCAGCCAATGTCTCCCCTGTCAGCCTTTCATCCAACACTCTGAGCCTCAGAGAAACCCACAGAGACGCTGTGCTTATCTATTCAGGAGGTGAAGAGTAAACCCTGTAAATCTGGCGTGACGTATTCTGTCAGCACTGTGGGAATAGCACGGGTGATTCTCAGTGTGAAGCGGAAGAGACAAAACCCTCAGAGGTGATACAAACACTAGAGATAAACCTGAATGAACATTTCTTTCCATAAAACTCAATAAAACATACACCCTGATTTTTGTGCTAGTCAGGATGGAAAACAATCTCATATTATGCAAAGAGACTCACACTCTGGTTGAACATGTCCGTCTCGTGCCTCAGAGTGGTGTACTGGCGTAAATGCTGCTGGATCCACTCGATCCGCTCCACCTCCAGCTTCTCCAGCTCCTGAAGAGGAACAACGTTCACATTTAGTAACAGAGGACAACTGATTACCCTGGTGTTTATTTTAGATTGGATTTACTTCCTTATTGTTTGACCCAGCTGCTGTTAGTGTACAAATAATAATTACAAAAGCAAAAAATGTTCCCCCTTCAAATATTCCTTCTTAACGAAAAACCTTAATGCTATGCAATATAACGTCCATTGTAGATTAAAAACAACAATTAAAAGTATATTGGGGTCAAAATTACCAGGATTTTTTCTGTGTTATATGAAAAACAGGAGGTGTTCATATCATACAGTAGTTTTGCACTCATATCTATACTTTTTATTACAATTTTAACATTTACATTTTGGTTTTTTTATTTTTCAAAAAGTAATTCCTAAACGTTTGCCATGTTACCACATTACTGTAAATACAAAGAGCTGAGCAGGTAAACTAACTGTTTGTTTGAATGGAGTCTGGTGGCTTTGAAGAGAGCCACTTGATTTGTATAAAGGCATAAAAAGCATTGTTTTAAACCTCCATTGTAGGTTAAAAACAACAACAGAAAAGTTGATTAAAGTTTCAAATGAGCAGGATTAAGGTGGTTCATTAAGGGGACAAATATCTCTCATTCTAGGTTTTTAAGTGATTCTCGTAAAGGTACATTTTTTAAGATGCAGATTTCTATTCTCTCCAAGGGAAGATCTTACCATGCTGGTGGTGACCATTTCCTCAAACCACTTGCACTGGGTTTGGTTGTAGAGATCCACGCAGCGCATCAGGTCGTCTCCTGGAGAACACACACAGAGGTCAGAGGTCAACAGAGAGCTGAGAGTCCACAGATATACAACGATCCACATATCATGTTCAACATTTGTATTGTTTTAATTATAAGTGTTTTACATACATATGATGTTTCTGGATAAATATTACTGTTGCATTAATGTTAATGTTGCATTTTTCTGCTGTAGATCACAAACACATAACATGGAAATACAGAAGTTCAGTACAGGTACTCCAAATGTGTACTTATGTAAAGTATCTACTGTACATTTCAACAAACATTTTATCATCTTCTTTTTTGCTTTCATGTATGTTGTTGTTTTTATGCGTGTGATTATTATTTTAATAAATAGTAGTAGCATTAATAATCAGTGTTACAAATGCAAAACCTTTAAGGACCAGCAGAGGGCACTCAGATTTCACGCTTCATTGATTCAAAGATGAATCATTTTATGTGAACTGTTATCATGGCTGTCCTTAAACCAAGCTATAAAGACTAGTGGATTGCTTTTTTACATATCATGTCTCTTAGTTCTTAAAAAAAGGAAACGACATTCCATAACATTTAAGCTCTGTATATCCTGAAAGCTGAAGAAGAGATATAAGAACAGGAGCATGCCTGAGGCGTATTAGTATTCTCTCAGTGAAGGTAAACACATCCCTGTGTGGGTGCAGTGATCCGTGATGACATTTGTTACAACCTTGAGGCAGCGGCACTGATCACCAACACAGAGCCGATATGATTTAACTGTAACTGTGGACGCTATTGATTACTGCTGTGGTCTGTCACTAACCTACTGAGATGAGGAGAGAAGGAGGAAATTATACATTCTGATGAAGCCTGAGTAGAACAATTACAAAATGGACTTTTCTTATTAAAATGTCAAAGAGTATCTCTGGTAGGACGTGTCTTTGGATGTGCTTGTTGAATTTAAACCAGTAAAATTATACAAAACAAAATTGCCTTCACATATTGAAATCCATCACATGCAAAGAATGATTAGAGAAGCATCACATCTATTCTGTAAATCGCCAGACTTTTTTGTTGTTGAATATATAAATATTATCATGAATGTGGATAAATACTGTATTTCAACAATACGGTATTTTGTTTTTCACATTTGTTATTTTTTATTTGTTATTTTTTTAATCTGTTCGAAATAAAGATTGAAATGAAATGAAATGAATGAGTAATAAAAACATCAGTTGTAAGGGATAATTTGTGAGTGCACCACTTGTGATTTTGTTCATAAATGTCGCCACATCCAGTCCCGCCCCTTAGCCTCACGTACAGTACAATGTGTTGGAGCGCTAGCCAATAGAAATGCGAGTGTTACAGAGTGATATCACTGTGTTTCGGAAGTAAATAAAGGAGTCCAATGGAGGCATTTCAGGCAGGGGGGAAATACACAGTGATTTGCAGACCATGTACATGCATAACAACCTATATAACACACTACAGGAAAGGGAAAAGCATAATAAGGCCCCTTTAAAGACTTGTAAGGTCTGTAGGATCCCTAGACTAACCAGACACTTTACTAAACAATAATGCTTCAAGATCATTTCTTTGACTTCACTCTTAAAATCACAAAGAAACAGATGTTTCAGAGTGTTTGCCTTGTGCCTCAGTGCAGTTATTTGGTGTAAGTTTAAATCTCTAGTCATGGCTTCTGGGACTGGCTCTTATTCAAAGTTTGGACTGTGACTTCTGACCTGCTTGTGTAGATTTCCGCCGAGCCTTCTTGATGTCCTCCTCCCGTCTTGTTGCTGATTTTAATCTCCAACTGCTGGGTCTTCACCTCCAGATCTTTCCTGCCGGTCTGCCAGAGCTCTACGGGACTACACACACACCACACACACACACACACACACACACACACACACACACACCACACACACACCACACACACAACACACACACACACACACACACACACACACACACACACACACACACACACACACACACACACACACACACACACACAACACACACACACACACACACACACACACACCACACACACACACACACCACACACACACACACACACACACACCACACACACACACACACACACACACACACACACACACACACAAACACAAACACACATTTAGTGGGATGTGCGAACATACGGTAGAAACAATGAGTCATTCAGCATAATCCTCAGATGGACTGTACCTACATGTGCAGGAGTCATTAAGGCCTTTTCATGTTTGTCATCCCATCCTTTAATCTTCCCTTAATCCGTACCAATGAGCCTTTCCTCCTATTCATTCCTGAGGCGCCCACTGGTGTAACAGTGTTTGAAAAGTAAACATACAGTAACAGTGATGCCAAGAAAATCTGCGGCCGAGCTTCAACCCACTGATGCAGTGAAGCACAGAGTGAGCCAAACGTTTGTTTATGGCTGGACATGATTTGTAGAGCTGGAATAAAGTCCAGTGATAAACTGTAAACACTGAATGGAAATGTCCTGCTTCATGTTTGTGCAAATGAAGCTTTGCTTATTCTAATATATTGTTTTGTGGCGTTTTATTGGATTACAAATCTAAAGATTGTTGTAACGCTGCAGCACTTAATATTGATTTGCAATACCGAAAAACGAATAATTAAGTAGATTTAATCAAAACCATTATGCAAATACTCAAACAATAAACATATTATTAAAGTAAAGTGGCTGTTACATATTGAGCTTTCATTTCTATCATGTCTCTTTCCCAAATCCAAATGAAATGTGAAAAAGGGAGATTGCTGAATTGAGAAGCCTTGAGTAGTTTTGGGCTATACCCATGTCTAAAAAAATATAACTTAAATAAGTAAATGTGCCAGCAGTAGACTAACTGCATATACTGTATGTGAAGCTCAAATACAGAGTGACCTTGCTCCACAGTGTTCTGATCTATTATTTATACATATTTTAAATATCTGCATAAGAAACCATACTAAAAAGTGCTGCACATTTGTCAATATACATGATTCAAATCTTGGAGACGGAAAAGTGCGCGTTAGCACACACCATCCACATAATGACAATACATCACAACACTTATTTCAATGATTGTAGTTGTGGGAGGCAGCATGAAAACGCCATTATGTTCCAGGTGTAGGCGGTACTGAAGCTCTTTTATTATGTAAGCTTCTGATGTAGAAATCACTGATGTGCATGTTCTTGTGCAACTAAACATTCAATATTTGGAGATTCACTTTTGTAATGAATGCACCATTTGGACCAAAGAGGGCAAACAGTTTGTGCAAATACTATCATTTCCATCTGAAAAGCACAGTGCACTGTGTCATATATGTATTTAATAATATGTGATCACGTGAGACTCCATACCTTCTCCACACTTGCATAGCGACTCGCCAGCTGCTTCCGGAGGTCGGCGATGTGATGGTCGTACTTTTTCAGGTCCTTCTTGAAGTTGTCGCATCTGAACGTCAGCAAGGGCTTTTCTACCTCAGAGTGGAGCTGGGAAAAATAAAGAGTCTCTCAGCTGCTGGTTTAATCTTGTTGTGACATTCGAGGGAAGGCAAATAAATAAAAAAACATCCCTTTAATCACAGGAGGACATCGGGAAAAAAACTTTTTATAAAACTTGGTGAAAGAGTGTAATATTGGGCTGAGAAAGGACCCAATCGAATATATAGCGGATCCGAATATGGCAATATTTCACTAAAGGAAACAGCATGGGGGAGGTCTGCACTCTTAAAGTGCATTTATATTTTGGCCACAGTATATTATGACTGGCTTTGGCTCAGTCAGAGGGTCAGTGGTTCGATCCCCAGCACCTGCAGTCAATATTTCAAAGTCTCCTCTGGCAGGACACTTAACCAGACACGTGCACTTATAACAGCTTAACGACCATGTCATTAAATGCTGTGTTAAGCAAATGATGGTCTATGAGAACAAATACAACACACACCTGTTATTAAATAAAGTCACCTAAATATTATTATTGTTATTAGTTTGAAAACATAAATCCATATCCCAAGTACTATTCTAGATTAATTTACAGTAAGACCTGTTTTGCAGATACATCGCTTAGGTATAACTCAGCTCCTTGTCGGAACAATGATTTTCTTTTGATTGGTGACTACTATTTAAGTACTACTTTATTTTTACAACTAACTGAACCTTTGCATTGCTTTATTTTTTTCTGACAATGTACACATTTCTTGTTAATGCCTTTTAGTTAATAAAAACCTCTTTGAGACGTTGTCTTGTTCTATTTGCAGCACCTTTGCTGATCAGCAGGTGTTTGTTTCTGGATCTCATTTTCAAACAGTGACGCCTTTTCCTGGATTACCAAAAGAGACAGCCTATTTGTAACACTCTTGTGACTGAACAGACACTCATTAAAATGAATATCTACAACGTCATTACTCTAACAAAGCCTGTTCTACAAATGCACATCCATCACCATAAAGGATGTGATTACACGTTTCCATTTCTTCCACCAAGCCCTTATCTTAAAATATGAAAAAGCCAATTTTTGATGACACTTCAATAAACTACATATTGCTTGTCAGCAGTGTTGGCTCTCCTCACAGAATGCTAATCTGGTGTAAATGCCAGAGCTGGAAGATGAAAACGTAGCTTATTAGAGCGCGAGCTGGGGCCTCTGCAGGCTTGATAAGACTTCTCATTCCCTGCCTGACCACGCGTTACCTTCCCCTCACCCATCTCCTAATGAAGCAGTGTCAGAGCACTGGTGGAGCGTGGGGGGGGGGGCTTCACTGCCCTGGGTGGGGGCTCGTCACAACACGTAACTAATTAATCAGACAACAGAGGGCTACTGAAGAGCTGCGAGGCGGCCGCGGCGTTATTTAAGGCTCCATCTGATGCCACGGTGCGGTTTCTGCTTGGCTGCTAATCGGAGCGCTGACGAGGCAGAGGTAAATGAGCCCAGACACCTCGGGACATGGTCAGATCAAGTGTCCATTACTTCAGATGATTGAAAACATTTAACACCTGACCTGAAGGGGCAGAGAACTGCACACCAAGGGCATCCACACAGAGATGAAGGAGGACTAAATGTTTGTGATTTAGAGAGCTATCAAAGGTTCACTTAAATGTCTAATATGTAAGGTTTCTGCATTTAAATGCATTGTTGTGTATGTTAATGATTTGTGTACATCATCTCAAAACCCAAGTTATCTGAAACATTTCAACCTAGAGAAATCTGTAATTTGAATCAAGGTAAAGATGCGCTTCATCTCGTATAGAGTATGCATATTTCATAAGCTGTCATATTTCACATGTAATCATATTTTAAAGCCAAATTCTTATAATACATATTTCAGATCCTAGTCATTTTAAAATATATATTTTAACTAACAGTTATTTTTTATTAATTAATTCTAAAAACAATGATGAGTTTCAAAAAATAATGCAAATGTACACATAATATTATTTAATATTTAAAGTGGACCTATCATGCTATATTTAAATGATATATTGTAGGGCCATACCTATATAAGGTATATTTATACGTTTCTGTTTTCAAAATACCAAACAGATCATGCATTTTAGCCATGCCTCATTTCGCTCTATGTGCTGTTTGCTGTCTACGGGTCTGATTCTGCTGACCACGCCCCCCTGCAGGAAAGGGGAGACGTGCTCTGATCAGCTGCTGGGCTGTCAGAAGAGGGGGAGAAAAAGAGATCTCCGTCCTCCGTGTTTTATTATATAGAGTCGTTATTCATTTGTTTTAAAGCTCAATAAATAACAAAGAAGACCTTTGACCGGCACTTTTCTAATTTTGTCCGGAAGATTTAAACTTTAACGGACATCTTGACCGGCGAAAGAAACTGAAACTCTGCCGCACGGTCCCCCCGTTCCTTGGAAGAGACGGAGAGGTGGGTGTTTGTCATCTGCTGGTGGACTAACCGGAGAGAATTACAGTGCTTGCCTCGACGGGGAGGGATTGCATTGAATTAAAGCAGCAGGAGCAAACGCTTGCCTCGGGGAGGGAGAAAAAAAGCCACAGCGGAGAATAAACAGAAGGGTAACCATGGTAACTATGGGCGGGAAATCTTCTTCGCTGCTTTTGTGGCAGACTACAGCGCCACTTACAGGCCTGGCATATGTACTACAGCGTCTCCAGCGCTTTCGAGCGGCAATGGCCGGCCGTGGCCCAACCCCACATTCCCCTGATAGGTGAAGAGTTGGCCCAATAGCCGTAGCGCCACTTCTGTGACGACATAGAAGTGTTCAAATCTGGATCAGTCTGTATCAGATCCGTTGCAGCCCCTTTTTTAGAGATTTGGGTATGGAGAAAAATAGAGAGGGTTGTGTTTTCTGACACTTGGTGAGTTCCCTGGAACACCGGGGACACATATTCATGTATAAAAGACGTACAAAAGTGCATTTTGCATGATAGGTCCACTTTAAACTATTTGATGTACTCAGGTAACAGTTATTTATTGTGCGTTTAAGGTGTTATTTACTTACTATTTTTTAAACCTAAAATCGTTATAAACCGACATCTAGAAATGTCAAAAAGGATAAGTAGAAAAGACAATTATTATTTACCAGAGCTGAAGGTGTATTCTTCATATTTCTTGCTTTGTTTGACCATTAATCAGAAACCCCCAAAATTGCAGTCTACTTAAATATATGTCAGAGAAAATAAGCTCATAGGGTTTTTCATTTTCTTTTCATTGATACCAATTCTTTAAAGAATTGCTGCAGATTAGGAAAACTTTCAATCCATTGATGAATGGTTTTCACGTCTACATGAGATCGATATAAATGCATTGCCTCCTCCATTTTCCTGAGCAGATCTTACCTTGTTGGAGAACTTGAGGTGGACTTCAGCTTCATCATGAAGACTCTTCTTCAGCTGAGTCCACGCCTCTCCCAGAGTCCTGAGGAAACATCAAGTCAAATAAATCCAGTTTATCTACTGACTTTTGGAGTAAATGCTCGGTTTCAGTAAAGCAAATAAACACACAGTTTAGCTTTAAACAAAGAATATATTTAACTGTGTTTCCATCGTTTCTCAAGTACTGCACTTAAAGGTGGGGTAGGTAAGTTTGAGAAACCGGCTCGAGATACACTTTTTGTTATATTCCATGGAATGCTCTTAACATCCCGATAGCAATGAATATCTTAAGTGCTTTGACAAAAAATCCATAAAAAAATGTCATCTGTGGAAGCCGTAGTACTGTAAAAAGCACGACCAATCATTTTAGCCGGCCCGGCTAAAATAACTGGATGGCCTACCTGCCTGTCAGCCTTCCATCTGTGCACAAACTTATCTCATGCCCTCATTGGTCATGTGCGCGGTCGTGTGTGTTGGAGGAGGGGCTCTGTAAGGAAGTGGTAGATTTTTTCCGGTTGTGTGTTTTCAAATTCTAGCGCACTCGAGCTGGTTTCTCCAAAATTACCTACCCCACCTTTAAGTCAAATTGTAGATACTTATACTTCCATCAGTATTTTTATCATGACAGCTTTTACATTAACTACATTACATTTCATTAGGAAACATTGTAGTTTTATCAGTTACTTTTTAGTTTACATGTCCAAAAGTTTGTAGTTGGGCCGCCATCTCTAACTCATGAGCTATCCAGGTAACAAGGTTTTAACATTTCAGGCAATGTCATCCCTTCTATCATTTCACCACTGTTTCTTTAATAAAGGCACTTTCTGGGACAAAACAAAACAAAACTATGAAGTTTATGAAGCAAGATCCATTATTAAAGTATATGGACCATCCAACAAACTCAGAACCTTGACAGCATTACAATTATATTATAATATGTAAAAAAAAAGAAGGAATGAATCAGACTATTTTTGCTTATTGAGTAGCACAAAGGACATTTTAATTACATGTTGCTTCTACTAAGTAAAACAAAACGGACACCAATGATGTTGTATCCATTGTAAGCATATAGTAGTAGAAAATATCTGACACAATTTTAAAATCTGCCATCCAAAAATAAGTCTAAATTGTGATGAATGTTAAGAAATGCATCTTTTACAACCTCTCTGATTGTCTGACCGGAATACAATCGATATCTAACCTTGGATAAGTTCCTCCATTAGTTTCATTTTTGCGGCCAAAAGAAAACTGTTCTGTATTCGAGGAAACTCCAGAGCTGGAGAGCAACCAAATCACTGCTTCTCCAGCCAAGCCTCAGCTTTTTTGTCTATGAATTTTTAAAATCTGCTCAAAGATTTCAGTGTCGATTTGCTGACAGAAAAAAAAAGAAAAAACTTGACTCTTTGATAGCTGAATAAAAAAAGTAGTGTGTGACTAAGTCTATTTTAAAATCTCTATTTTTAGACACAGTTGTGTAATTGCTAAGCCTGCATGCTGCGTGCTGCGTGCTGCAGAGCGAGCGATGGAGAACACCCGGTGGTGTCACAGCTTCTGTTTACAGAACTCACCCTTCATCCTGCGCTGCCAGGGGGCTCAGAGACAGCTTGGAGAGATTCTTGGCGTACTCTTCTTCAATCTTTATCCTGAAACAGAAAGAGTGAGATGAGCTGTGTGGCTCAAGGGAGAACAGAAGCTGCTTCAGTGAGGTATAGTCAAATGCTTTTTACGCACTTCATTTCAAAGGTGCATTGCAGCAGAACAACAGAAATCAAGATATACTTTATTTTCTTTGTTTTGAACTCAAATACACATACTGTACACAAATAATTAAAGATAATAAGCAATTACTTTAAAAGTGATGAAAAAGGCGTAGGCTGATGCCAGAGCTACACGTACAGCTTTTACATTTATTAGCTTCTACAATTTATTTATATAATCCAATTTTTTTTTTTTTAATTAAACACAGTGTCACACATCAAAATACAAAACACAATAACATAGGGAAGTATTAAATGAATAAATACAAATAATAATAATAAATCTGGCTTTTCTCTTAGGTTACATCACATCACCGAAGTGTATACATATTTAGTTATTTATATTATAATTTCTTTGTAGAATCCTCATTACATGTATACAATCAAAAGGAATACAAACGTACTAAGAGTATTACATTTATTCCCAACAAGTCTCCAAGATAATCATATACACATGAATGGTCATAACAGTTTGGTATTTGTCAATGATCTTGTTTATTTATATTTGTTGGCTTATTAAGTGCATCACACATTTCACTAATAAATCCAATTTCCATGAATCTAATTACGTAACATTTGAGAGCCTACTTACTACGATTTGCTGCAAAGGCGGATATCTAGCCATGACCTGTGTTCATGTGAAAATCTGTAGTTTCAGAGATTGAAGTATGCTCATATCTTCCCTGAGGGACGTTCAACCAGAGAGTCCATGTTTTTACCCTTTGTGACATTCACTTCCTGCACGGATCTCACATTTACCGTCCACACCTAAAGAAGGTCACAAGGCCTTTCATTCTTTGACTCAATGTTCGGATACTGCGCAGCACCAAGAAACACAGCGAACCAACACAGAAAGGTCAGTGCCGGGCATACATCCTACTGAAGGATTTTGTTGGACTGCATAATCTTAGTGATCCTGCGACCTCATGCAGGGAAGAAGAACCCTCATTACCGTCCCACGACTCGGACTAGAGTGTGAATAGAGCTTTTCTACAAGTGGGTGGGGCTAATTATATAGATAGGCGTGAGATCGGATGTAAAAGTTTGAACTCCTAATTAGTCACGTTGTTTTTTTAACTGCTGTTTCAGATTCAGTGGCAGTTCAAGCATTTCATCTATTCATATTCTGCGTGCCCAGTTGAGTTCTATAGGCCCTTTAACAACAGGGTGCAAGCATTCATTGCTGCTGTAACAACAACGCTTGGATCCCTTTAAAATCCTTTATAAATTGATTATGTCCAGTGAGTAAAGCCACCTTTGAAAGGATGTCATACGCTCCATATACATCGTTTTGGTAAAGAAGCACCATTTGCAAATTTGGCCAACAACAATTGATATTCTTTTAAATTCCAGGTGATTTTTTATACAATGGTAACTCTCATACCATAGAAAATGTAAGTTCAATTGCAGTATGATAAAATTAAATAATGTATTCCTTCTGTATTCCCTTTTTATTTGATGAGTTATTGGATCATTCCTCACGATCAAACACATTTCAAAATAGAAGTGTTCCAGGTAAATGAACTAATAAAAACCAGCTGAATATAAATATTTTGATTCAGTGACTCATTCTGTAAATCTTAACTTTCAGTTTCCATAGTTTCACCTCAAGGACAAAAGCATGCAGAGTTACAAATACTGATGGTGATAACGCAGAGATACAATCCTGACAGCTCTATTGAACACCAAGAAGGTGCATTCATTGATTTTCTTTAACAAGAAGTACAGTGTGCAGGTTGAATATTTACAAGAATTAGACAAAAATAACTAAAATCCATTCAAATAAAGTCTAAGTTTTGACATTTTACATATTCTTTCTTAAGAAAAGCTCAGTATTTCCTAAAACAGCTGGTATGGTTAGTTTAGTTTTCAGCATAAGTGACACAATCTGAAGGGTATTGTATATTTCAATTCATCTTGTGTGTTGTCTTCCATTAAAAAAAACAGCATTTTGTCAACACATTTCCATTTAAAGAGTAAAAAATAGTCTCTAATTGTATACAAACTTGTTGTAAACTGACACGTTTTTTGATACTGTTCTTTGACTGTTTATAACAAGCACATTGAAATAATATTAAAGGGTGGTTTATAAATTGAATTCCTTATTAACATCACAATAATGTTAGTTTTAAGATATAACTGTCAGTTTTGTAGACATTTTTTGGAACATCCGAGCAGGTTTTCTTTTAAGTGAGGTACAAGAGTTGAGCCTCTCAGATGTGTGTGTGTAACAGTGTGAAATTGAGAATTGTTATTATTTATTTTTTGTATTACTATTTTTTTGTACTTTGTTATAATTATTATTATGAGTGAGAAAAAAAAAGAAAAAAAGTATATATTTATATTATTATTATTGTTGTATGTTTTGTTTCTGACATGTTCAATAAATTGACAAAAAAAAAAAAATGAAACGGTTACCTCTCGTGGATAAACTCGGACATCTCCTTCTGCATCTGTTTGCCCTTCAGCTGCTTCTGCAGAAGGACCTCGAAGCCCGCCACTGAGGTCGTGCCCTGTGGGTCTTTCTTGTCGGTCTGAGGATGAGGAGGAGGAGGAGAGCATCATTCAAAAGCATCAGCGCTACAGAATGACGCCTCTGTGTTGTTCACACTCGTGTATGTCAAGGAGGACATGCGTTGGTGTGTGTATGCGTCAACCCCCTGATGGATGGACGTGTATTATGTGTGTGTTTCTGAGGGGAGGTGCGGCACTGTGTCATGTCTGTCTGTGACAGGACTGATGAGGAACAGAGGAGCCAGATTTATTTCAAACAGCAAGTCTGAGCAGCAGGTCAGTGGACGCACAACACATGAGACGCAGCCATGACACAAACAGGGAGCCAAACAGCCATAAAGACGCAGGAAATAGGCATCGGATTTCACTCAATTCTGCACGCTGAAGGCTTTTTCGATATAAATCTAATTCAGGGTGGAGATGTATGGAAAGTGAAAATTACAGCCGCCACTAGGGAGACATTTAGAGCGCAATGATCACTGTGTTTGCAGAGAAGCAGGTCGATCCAACATGAAAGCCAATTGTATTTGTTTTCTATTCACATTGTTGTTTTTAGTCGCATCATTTAATGTACGCTTTTAGCAGCACTTTACATTTACCAGCAGAGATTTGTTGGAAAAGGTCAACATAATGTGTTGACAGGAGCCTTGTGGTGCTTTTCTGGTGGGCGGGCGGTATGGCTGCACAATATGAAGAAAATATGCAATAATGTTTTAGAAAGATAACACCTGCAATGAATAAACAGAAATTAGAGATGTCCCGATCCGATCACGTGATCGGGGATCGGAGCCGATCACGTGATTTTCAAAAGATCGGAATCGGGAGAAAAAAAATCGGGTTTTCATTTTTGTTTTTATAAAATATTTTTATTATTTTATTTAATGTTACAAAACAAAAATGACCATGTTCACGTCTTAAAGTCATCCTGAGGCCTTAGTTTTGGTTTAAAATTACACAACATCATGTATGTGTTGCTTCTTTTGGGCTTGTTTTCATAGACCTGGTTGCTTATTTCTCTCAAATCTGGCAACGGAGTGGGCGCAGTGTCTAATAGTAGCAGTAAGCTAACAAGAGGCTACGTTCAGCTGGTGCCTCGGGAGTCGGGACAGAGAAAATGTCAGGAGTTTGGAAGTATTATAAAATTGAAAGCGAAGGCAGTGTAACAGCCAGATGCAATGTTTGCAAGGCGGAGGTTCAGCGTGGTGGAAAGAACAGAGCTACATTCAACACGACCAATCTAATACGCCACCTGAGAAACAAACACCAACAACAACACGACGAGTACACAGCGGCCACTCAGGTAACGGCACTGAAACAACCAACACTTTCAGAGACTTTTAAAAGGAAAGAGAAACTACCCCAGAACAGTGAAAAGGCCAAACAAATAACAGCCAAGATAGCTGAATTCATCGCGTTGGATGACCAGCCGTTATCTGTGGTGGAGAACGTGGGGTTTAAGGGACAACTTGAATGCTTTTCTCCTTTTTTTTCTCTTAATGCATTGCATAAAGATCGGATCGGGAAAAATCGGTATCGGCAGATTGTCAAAATCAAATGATCGGAATCGGATCGGGAGCAAAAAAAGATGATCGGGACATCCCTAACAGAAATGATAGTGTACTAAGTTGCATTTCTGTAGCTTTCAGCGTTCTGTTAAAACACACATACTGCCTCTTAAATGTTTTCATTCATTCATTCTTTGGTTGAAGGAATTGAACAGAGCAGAGAAGGTAGCCAAGAAAGTGATGGTTATATTTTAAAGAGCAGTTTTAATCCACTTAAACAATCTCTGAGGTCCAATTTCATAGTTTTTTGACACTAAAACTATTTCATATTTAACTATATTCACTATAACTTGTTTACTATATTTTGTGCAGACGTTTTGGGAAGTTGGACCAAAGAGACACAAAGTGTTTGATAGTAGTGAACATGGGAACATCTGATCTGTTAGTTAGAATTGGTGCCTTGTGGTTTGGTAAATGGGCGGCGTCTACTTGACTTGGCTTGGGAACCAAGGGTTGCTGGTTCAAGTCTCAGTCGGTTGAAGTAGAGAGTGTTAGTAGCTGAAGGCAGTGTTCTATGTAACAGCACCCCTGTTCCTAAAGTACCTCCGACATATCTTCAGCTTTCTGTTGAGCTGCGTCTAGTTAATTATTGATTGCGTGCATGCGGATACTTGCAATAAGCTATATATATACTGTATATACTGACCCAGCCAATGTATCATTTAAGGTGTACTGTATGCACTGCATCTACTTCTTGCTTTTCATAGATTTCAGAAGACAGAGACTATATTTAGTTTTGCCTAACAGGTATACATAAAGTTGGCCCATATCTTCACCAAAGTCTCACAGTCCATCATGGTCATACGTTCAGCAGAACTCACCCAGAAGTAGTCGCAGTAGCTCCATTCGTTGGGCTTCAGGAGCTGCTGCTCCGGACTCCCTCCAGGCAGAGGGAACGTCACACAGTTGATCTGAAGCAAAGAGAGGAAATACAGAGATGACAGAGAGCAATGAGTGAGAAACGTACAGGAGATAAACAACAGATCTGTGAGGAGTCAGGAAAAGAAAGAAGGAAATGATGTTTCGAGGAGAGTAACATAACTGGGTTTCATTTAGACCAGGAGTGTCAAACTCAAGGCCCGGGGGCCAAATCCGGCCCGCGACTTCATTTGATGTGGCCCGCAAGAGCTTGCAAAGAATATAATACGTTTATTATACGGTTACATGCTACTTTACAGTATATCTATCTATGTTCATTTTAATTAATTTCTTATTTTATAGTTATTTATCTTTCTTTTTTTTTATCTTTGATTTATCCTTAATTGTATTTATCTGTGTGAATCTGTGCTGTCCTGTTTTTCAATCTCACCCTGTTGCTGTTAAACTACTGCATTTCCCCACGGGGATTAATAAAGGTCCATCTTATCTTATCTTATCTTACAGAAGCAGGTTGCCCATAAACTATATGTCCCACAATGCATCTCATTTTGTGACATGCGCACTGAAGAGACTTGCAATTATTTGCCCTAGACTTCTGCTTTCAGACGTAGTTAATTATGAAGTTATTACCCTATCTGATAATAATCCAATGCTTTAATTTAATATAATACATTATTTCATATATATTATATATTTATATATGTATTTTTATATAGTTACAACCAGCCCTTTGAGTGCAACCATAATGCTAATGTGGCCCACGATGAAATTGAGTTTGACACCCCTGATTTAGACAGTTACTGACTTTGGACAAATCACTTTTACTTAAATACAGTTATCAAAGGAACTTGAGTGTTTCCATTTTCTGCTACATCATAATTCTACTTCATTACACTTTGGGAATACGTTCTACTGCAGTACATTTATTTAGCAGACACAGTTACGCTGCTGTAATTTAAACTGATGTTTATGTGCATGCTGCAGTACGGGTAATGATTTAAATATGTTTTATTATTCAGTATGTTTTATGTTTTTATTGAATCATATTGTCCATTACTTTGACACTCTATCCCTGGATTTATGTCCATTGTTAAGCACCTTTTGAGGCATTTCTTCAATGAAAGGAACTGTTAAAATACAGCTTATTGTTATTTTAAGTAAATACAACTTAGTTTGGCTTCATTGCCATGGATCAGATGTTTATATGCTGTTTGAATCCTAAACGAATTAACTCTCAAATCTTTCAATAAAAACGATGGCGCGGGTATCGGTGCTGTTACTAGAATATGAGTACGGAGTCCACCAGTGCATTTGGATCATGCAGATGAGAGGAAAAAGGTCAGGCGTGGATGAACAAACATATGTTGGCCATCCAGAAGGTGAGTTTTACAGGCTTCAGGGAGAGAAACCTGTCATCTCCAAAGAACAAAATGTGTGGCGCTGCAGATAAACACTCACACTCAGCCTGAATACAGACTCCATGGGCCGCAGCGTCTTCAATTACTCCTGGGGCTGCAATTATGTAATGTTCACCATCTGTGAGCCCTCCCTCCTGGCACGGCAAGAAAACCCTCTGTGCCATGTGAGCTGCTGCAAACTACACGGGCATCCAGACAGGATGCTCCATCCGGCACAGAACAGAAACACACTGAGTCACAGTGCTCACCGCATGAGCTCACCGCTGTGCTTCTCACACACTGAAGAAAAACACTTGGCGTTCAGCAGCTGCCTCAAATGAACTGCTTCGTCCTGCTTCTCTTGCCAATGGAAAGGTGTGACAGAGATAGATTGAATTGTGGAAAACAACCCTGTCAGGAAGTTTAACAGATTATGCTTTGTGTGCTGCTTTACCAAAAATAATAAAGGGAAGCAGGAGACTGAAGAAGAGAGGCAGGTTTGTAGTAATGGTCATGTGACACGCTTTTGGCCCGGAGGAGCCCGGCACATAATAAGGCTTGGTGAGAAACCACGTTTTGAGACATACGATGTGGTTTTGTGGTGACATATTCAACTTATAAAGTTGAGATGTTGAACTTTTTAGCAAGTAGCTGCTGGTTTACACATCCAGCAGTGAAAGAGATTATGATAATTCTTTAGGAGTCATGTTTTCTATTCGCTGCTGAGCAAATAGTGTACAGTATGTTCTTAAGCTATTTGTTTCTACATTGCTATGAAAGCGCTTAGAGTGGGATACAAGACTAAAGTTGTGGCTCGGACAGATAATCAATGAACTGAAACCCACCATAAAGCTTTGTCACGACTAGGTGAGCTGCAGATTAAGCTAACAATTTTTGGTTCATGAATAACAACCTCTTTCACATTGTCATTTGACACATTTTTATAATAAACACAACAGTGACAAACTGACAGACTTTTATCACTTAATACAGCAAAGCAAACGGTTTGCCTATATCCAGCATACTGATTAACATAAGCATCTATTTTAAAGTAGGGAATGTAAATGTTTTTATTGTTAATGTAAACATATGGATTTGTGAAGAGAGAAACTAGAGTCAGTAACACACAGGCATGAACATATTGGCTTATTGAGCAGCATGTTACACACAGTGTAACATTATCTGGATTCCCGCTGTCATCCACACGTTTCTGACCTTATCTGAAAATCCAATATCTAACATTGACTCTCTTATAATAGTCACTCTTTTATCCTAGTGCTGCTTGTTGCTGGGCAGGTCACTGTACAAGCAAAGCTCTTTGGACTGGGATGTCTTCCTACAATGATACGTGTTTAAGTTGATAGAGAAAAAAACTCCTTACCCATTATTAAACTTAGCCAAGACCTAGCCCCCGTGCCTGAAACACCTCCATTGGACTATTTTGTTTACTTCTGTAACATAGTGACATCACTATGTAACACTCGTGCTTCTTTTGGCTAGCACTCCAACAGATTGTTCTTGATTTGCTAAGGGACGGGACATCTCTTAGCGGTTGTCCATTCACAACAGAGTCAGCGAGCTAACCAATCAGAGAAGACTGGGCTCTGGTTTCAGACAGAGGGTGAAAAGAGGTGCTGCAGCACAGGCAGTATGAGAAAAATAAAGAGCTTTTTGAACATTAAAAGCACGTAAACGTTTCACATTAGAGGCATACAATACAAATATGAAACTGATAATTAACAGAGTGTGTACTCTTTAGGCTCCGAGACTCCCTTTAGATTGCACAAACAGCATATTTATTGTTAAAACTGTAACTGTAATGTACACCATCTGTGTTAAGCTGGCTGTACTGAAGTTTTGCATAAAACTCACAAATATTGGGCTTAAAAACCTCCAATAAACACTCGACAGCGGCCTCTCCATTCTCTACCCTGCCACCGCAGCACTTCATCTGAACAACTTTCAATAAACAACTTCAAAAAGAGATGAGGAAAAGTCTTTCTTCGTTATATAATCACTGAATAAACCACAGGAAATACTGATATGGCTACTTGCCTAACAGGCACACTGATAAGCCTGTAAACAGCTAATAAACAAGAGACACATCAGGGCACAGTAACGGTACAATCTAAAGAAACAACAGGGAGATTTACTCCATGTGCCGAGCAGTCACTTTGTTCATTTTCTGCCTCAGAGATCATACTGATTGTCATGGACACCAGATTTTCCATTACACTGGCCGCACATCTATCATGACTGTTGTTTGTTTGCCTCTCACATCCAGCAGAAAATGAGACCATTTATCTAAAGGAACGCTGTGGGGCTAACTTACTGCTCCTTTATGGCTGCTTAGTGATGTGCTCCGGGGTCCGGGAATAAAATATTAATATAGATTACCTTCAGCATGTCATAAATCCTCCGGAGGGATCTGAGGTCAGGCTGTGGGACTTGGATGTTTAACTGCCATATTTCATCTTTGAATGTTACAGTTTAACATGAAACAGAGCTGGAAAACAAATATGAGTGGGCTTTGGAAGCTCATTTCCGCCATTGTAATGAAATAAAGATCTGCTGAGATATTATAATGAGAAACTTTCTTGACATAATGACTTAGTATCTGAAAATAATGACTTGGTATCTGAAAAAAATGACTTAGTATCACAAAACGATAGGTGAATAACTTAAAATAATGACTTTAAAGCTCAAGATAATAACAGTATATCAAAATAATGACATTTTATCTCATACAATGACTTAATGTTTCAATAAAATGACTTAATATCTCAAAATAATGAATAAACATCTCGAAATAATGACGTAGTATCTCAAATAATGACTTAATATCTCAATAAAATGACTAAATATCTCAAAAATAATGACAATATCTTGAAAAAGGACTTGTTATCTCTAAATAATGACAAACTCTTCTGGAAATAATGACTTGCTATTTCCAAATGATGATCTAATGTCTCAAATGTATGACTGAGTTAATTTAAAAAATGAGGAAGTGTTTGCAAAAGAATAAGAAACGTATTATAACTGACTAACAGGATGTTATTTTTGGACATGGGCTTCTACAGAGTGCAGTTCTGTCAGGTGAATTGGGACATTTTGTCCTAACAAAGCATTCATAAACATTCAAGTCTCATGAGGGTTTCGTATCCAGGCTACAGGCAATGGTTGTTTCATTACTCATCTTTATGTTTTTTTCCCTTATTTATTTATTTTTCCTTTGCTGAACACAGAAAAATAAATTCATGACACAGTTGAAAGACGAGGCCCACGAGACCCATGTGTTTGGCTGTCGAACAAACGGCAGAAACAAATCCATATCTGAGCCGAGCATTTCAGCAAATGTGACTGTAGGATGCTCTGCTGCTGTTGCTAAGAGACAAATGACTTTTGCTGTAAAAGACCACCCCCACCTACACACACACACACAAAGACACACACATGCACACACACACACACACAATAACAAGCCTCTATTCCCACTGCATTCCTCCCTTATCTTCTTCAATGACCAATCAAAAGGCCCGGTCCAAATCCCGCCAACGAGCCCAGATGACTGTCTTAACGAGCTGCTAATCCCCCCCCCCCCCCCCCCCACCCCCGAGTGCCGAAGCATACGCAACAAGTCAAACCGCACGTGAATAAATGTTTAATAGCTGAATACAAAAACTGCATTTGCTTTGATTGGTCACACCGTGTGAAGGTGACAACAAGGTTACAATGGATCCTATCTGAGGTGTGAAAAGCCTCGGCGTCCAGCGGGGGTCCATTTTGCCAACAACAGTCATGGACGTGAGCGTCTCCATGACAACTGTGGAGGGTTGTGTAATGCGAGGTGCACCGTGACGAACAAAAAGACACCTTTTGTGGACTGACGACATCCAAGCAGCTGGGTGTTTTGTTTATTTTACCTTCATTAACTGCAGCGGAAATATTAATATTCATGCCTCATCCCGGTTTAACCTGCTGCAATGTACACTCAATATTGGTATCCCATTTATTGGCTGCATTTTCCAAAAATCTAATTTCTCTGTAATTCAGTTTATAAGGAACCATTTAAAATATACAATTTTATTACAATATCCAAAAATTGCTTTAATGCCAAAGCTCTAACATTTATTTCTTTTTTATTTAAAAGCACTTGACTCCTGGAACAAAATACATACTTTAAAAATGTGTTCACTTGTATCTTTTAGATATTTTATAAATGTGTTCTTTTAATTGTAATTATTTTAAATGAAATGATCTATCCAACTCTGAGTGTTTGAACAAACTTTTACTGAATTCACTTGATCAAATGATCCACATTCAATGCAGATTTCTATGGTTTTTACTGAAACGGTACTTTCATTTTCACATCTTGTCCTTATTTATGAATCAAATGATTTGACCCAATTGGACATTTTCAATGGCTTTTAGTTTTTAATAATGGCCTCTCTATCTGTTACTATCCCTCTTTGTTGTTGTTTTCCTTTTCTTTAAAAAGCCCTACAAAGAGAAGAAGATACATTCTTCCAAACAGTATGTCTTCAGTTCACCCCCCCTCCAGTGTTTTCCATTTCAACACCCATTAATCAGTGCTATTGCTTTTGTCACCATGGAAACTGGACTTGCTGCATCTCACGCAGGTCTGCTGGGCTTTTCACAATAGGCAGACTGACGGCTCCCGTGGCTGCAGCAGGTCAGTGAGCCCAGCGAGCGCAGAATCAGACCCTGAGAGACACAAAACCACCTCTTGTCTGTCCCCCCCCCCCCCCACGCCACCACCAACACCAACACCACACGGCCCCCTTCCCACAGATTACATAACCACAGCTTCTATATGGGCACCGTAAGACACTGTGACATAAAGAGCCCATTCAATTCCTCCTCTATATTCTGTCATAAGCCTCAGGTACAGATGAGCCCAAATACTACTACAAGCTAAAGGGGGGGTTCCTCGTACTCTCGGGCACACAGTGCTCACTCCTCAAACGCTGCTGTGTGACCTGTGCTGCCCCGCACATTACATGCGGAGCCCTTTGAGGGGAGAACAAGGGGGGATATCACACGGAGAAACAGCTCGGTGACAAACAAGCTCAGAGACCGAGATCTTTATCTTATTCTAGATACCAACAGCTGTCTGCAGATCAGCTTCACTTAACATTTAGTGAAGATGGTAAACACATTACAGGGTCTTGAGAGCATTAATTAATCGCTGACAGGCAATAAATCAATATTATGGATCGAGGCCAGTCAGTCAGCGAGACAGACATGAGTACAAGACTCCTGGGCAGCTTCTTAATTCAGACTAATGTGGTAGCCAATATGCAGGGAGCCCCGTGTTACTCCACAAGAACCCACAATGCATTATGATGTGAGCATGAACAGGATGTCAACAGATGATAGTAAGAACTTATTTCTGAGAGATTGAGAGACAGCAGAGGAGGAAGAAGAAGAAGAAGAGTGAAGTTGGAGCTCCGGGGTACTCACCGTGATCTTGGTCTCCTTGACCTCCCTGATCTGCCTCCTGGCCGGTGAAACGGAGCCGGGGGGCTGCGGGGCGAGACAGGAGGGGTCGTCAAAACTCTCCTCAGTGTCAAAGCTGGCTTCCATCATCCTCCCTCTCACCTCCTGCTGCTTCTCTATGCTGGGAAAGCCTCACCGCTCTCTCCTCTCTCTTTCTCTTTCCCTCCACTCAGCGAGGCTGCCTTCAGTCTCACAAGCTATGGAGTGAGTGGAGAGGAGTCGTGTTGCAAGAGGTGGGGGGAGGGGAGAGGAGGTGTAGCGCTGGGAAGGTAGCGTAAGGGGGTGAGGAGGGGGATTCTGCGGCCGCTGTGGGAGCGTGACGAAGTCTAGCCACCGGATAAGCTGCTGTCACAAGAGTTCTAAGGGTCGAAGGCTGCAAAGGAGATAGATGCTGCCTGCGAGGGGGTCTCTGTGTACCCTCCACCCTGCTTCACCTACACCCCTCACCCAACCATGTCCATGCAGAGAAAGAGAGAAAAAAATCCAGCTCCTGGATGGAGATGCTGGAGCGTAAAAGGCGAGGATGTGGAAAAAAGAAGAAATAGTAAGAAGAGGAGGGGGTTTATTTACACAGTCACTGCTTCACCTCCGTCCCCCGGGAGGCGTGAGAGTGTGGGAGGAGGCAGCAGAAGTGGTGGAGGTGGAGGTGCGGTGGGGGTTGGTTTGATGGAAATGGTTGAATGATTATATTTAAATGACTAATTACGATTGGGAGGGAAACTGGTGGAGGAGGAGGAGAAAGAGAAAGAGAGCAGGAGGGGAACCAAGCAGCCAATCAGACGCAGCCTCTCTGATTGTGTGTTCATGTGTTGGGAGACATGTGTGTTTAGGATGGAAGGGGTTATGAAAGTGTGATGAGGAGGCACATTCAGGGACCGTAAGGCAACATAATGCACAACATTTGACATATTTGTGTATTGATGTATGTGTTCTGAATGCAGCACTCATGTTCACAGTATGTGTGTGTGTGTGCAAGGTGGCAGCATCTCTCTCACATGGCAGCGCTTCACCCGAGGCATCAAACACACGCAGCGTGCAGAGCGGAGCGGCTACGACCCGTGATCACTGCATCCCTCACACCTTCTCATCCACCTGCGCTGCTCTAACAACACCGTCACATGCACGAACGGGCACATGAACCACGTTCTCACCTTTGCTGAACAAAACATGGCGGCGGGCGTCAGCTCTGACAAAACACTATCCCAGTCCAGGTCTCCCCGATCCGCGGCCCAAGTGCTCCCAACCGTCTTGGCAAGCCTCCTTTCCAAAACTGACAAAGTCTTGACAAGTGGAGTCCAAATCTCAGCCGCCCATATGGCACCGACTGTCCGTCCATCTACACTCTCCTGTGTGAGCATGACACGGTATGCCCTCATATGACTCGTAATTAGTCACGTGTGTTGGCATGTAGTCGACGTTGGCCCAGGTCCACCGGAGCGGATCTGCTTTCAGAAGGCAGGGTGCGGCAGCAAGTGCTGATAACAGATTGTGAACTGAAAATGTTCTCACATGGGAGAGAGCAAGTGTGGGTTTTAGGTTTTTGCACTCAAGCCGCTCCAAAAGAGGACAATAGAGAAAAGCAGCAAGTCTTCAAATTTAAGGAGCTGGGATTTAGGGATTGGCAATTAGATGGATATATTGGCTATAGATGAATGGAATCCATTGCCGGTTGTGTTCTTTGAGCACTAAGGATTTTGGGCTGGTTTTTCCAGTGGCAGCGGCTGTTAGCGTAGCATTCTCAGCAAGATTCGCAAATACTTGTGCAAATTGCCAGTTTAAGAATATTTGACCTGCACTACATGTGTGCAACAACCACACATTGGTCTGTTCAGGTCCTTCAGCTTGAAACCTGAATTGAATGACTACTAGATTATCAAATTATAGCTAATTCACTTTCTTGTAATATCCAATGATATGCACCTAACATAACGGATGAGTTTGACAACACAATAACAAGACTGTCTTCTCGAGAGGAACAACACTATCAGTCAATTCAGCAAATCCAGATGAAGAGGAGGAGGTTGAGGAGGATGGATGGATAGATCAATGAAACAAAGATATTGTTTTTTTTTTCAGCTTGACCACATTTGCATTTGCAAACAAAGCAGATCATTCTTACTGCCTACCTGTTTGCTCATGGTGGGTCTCCTCAAAGCAACATCAGCGGCCTCTGTGAGACTGGTCCTCGAACTGCTGTGGCATCCGTTGGCTGAGGACAAAAACAATTACAATCACATATTATTGATTAAAGTGAGGGCTGGAGTCTTGCTTTTGTGAAATATCTTCTCATAACTGAGCAGATGGGAAGAGCTGGATCAACAGATTCAGAGCAGTGTTGTAGTCAAGTCACCAATTCACAAGTCCAAGTCACTCTCGAGTCACCACTCTTCGAGTCCGAGTCCAAGTCCGAGTCACCAAGGGAGAGTCGTAGTCGAGTCCGAGTCCAAGTCCGAGTCACCCAAGGAATGTCCGAGTCGAGTCCGAGTCCGAGTCATCATTACCTGTGTTCGAGTCCGAGTCCAAGTCCGAGTCACCTAAGAAGAGTCCAAGTCAAGTCCGAGTCACAAGTCTTCATGTATTAATCTTCGTGGATATATGTGTTGAAATGTAGCTGCTCCTCTACATTGCTTTCATCCTGTCATGTTATACTAATCTGTCTATTGAACTGCTGTGAAGCCAGTTTGGCAACAATTCTTGTAATAGGTGCTCTACAAATATTAAGCTTATTACTAATATTAATATTATTATTATTAAATATAAATAAACTATGTTTAAAATGAGTTACCTTTTAGAGAAGTGATTATATTTGTATGCCAATATTTTCCTATGGTAAAGTTTTCGTTTTGCACTTTTATTTTGATGGTAATAAGATCGGGACTCTTATTTTGAAGGAACTTTTACCGGTTAAATCGGTTTACTGATAAAGATTTAGCCCCAGAAAGCACATGGCTACTTAGCATGCAAAATGACGTCATTCTGCATGTTAAGTAGCCATATGCTTTCGTGTTATCGGCTGCATCTTTATGTATTGATTAGATCACGTTACTCTGATGATAGTGTTCAAGACAGCATATGTCTGAACTCGATGTTTAGAGTAATGTGTTACGGAGCCTTCTCTTCAATATTGTTTCCACATAGAGCATTTTGCGCTGCTCTTTTCCAATGTGGAAGCAGAATGTGTGAAAGCATACAGCACGATGCGGGGTGTGTCTCTAGACATCTTTAGACTGGAATAGCGGGGCCCAGTACGTGAACTCGCCTCGCAGGTGCACACGCCAGGATAGAGGACATCAGACTCCATAGAAAACTTGCTCGAGTCCGAGTCCGAGTCCAAGTCGGAGCGTCAATGTACAAGTCGAGTCCGAGTCATCATGGGGGGAAAAATTCACGAGTCCGAGTCCGAGTCGCGATAATTCACGAGTCCGAGTCCGAGTCCAAGTCATCGTGCGCGAGAATTCACGAGTCCAAGTCCGAGTCGCGTCAATCAGTGCGCGAGTCCGAGTCGAGTCACGAGTCCCGAAAATCGGCACTCGAGTCCGACTCGAGTCCGAGTCCAGGACTCGAGTACTCCATCTCTGATTCAGAGGCAAATAAATTGCAAAGGTCAGATCTTGAAATGTGACATCCTAATGCTGGTTTGTCCAAGGACAGATTTGTTTTTCCTCAAACCAAAATATTGACTTTTCAATGCAGTTTAGGTTATCTTTGTGGCAATTTAATGGTAAGATTTGTTGAATCTTCTTGTCACTACATTTGTCTTAATTCAGGTTTCCATTCCCTACAGTACATCCATTTATCCACATATTGAAGGCATGTCATTAAGGAACTACGCTCTGGGGTTTAACGTCTCTGTAGCAACATCCCTGGTTTCATGCTTTAGGCCCTTAATGGTTCTTCATCATCTGTGATTCATGAGCTGTCTGTTCGCTGCATATCAACTCGTCCCATCTCCAGCTGAAGGTAAACACGTGAGCCCAGCAGAGTGTGACCCCCTAGGCCACATATTAAAGCCGCGGACGCTGGTCGAAGTAGGAAAACCAGGCCAACTTAAAGTAACAATCACGAGCATCAAGACATGTACCACCTTTGTTGACCTCTGTTAATGACCAGCAAAAATCAATAGGTCCCTGGCATATGTAATTGCCAAGAACAACAGTAAGTCAAATTCACACCAAAGCGAGGAGAAACAGACATTATATTACCCCGCGAGGGCTCAATAAGGCTAGATGATGAAAATGGAGCAAACAGTCAGCCCTTTCAGACTTGCTTTTAGCCTAATCATAAAGAAAACAGATAATTCAACATCTGTGTAAATATGCAAATTCAGTTTTCCCCCCAGAGACATAGATGAGAAGATTGATGTTTCTCTCGTGCATCTTTTAAAGGGGCCCTATTATGCTAATGTTCTGGTTCATATTTGTATTTTGTCTACAAGCTTTAATGTTCAGGAAGCTCTTTATTTTTTATTTGGCCGGCTCTGTTGTGATTGGTCAACTGCTTAGTGTTGTCCGGCCCCTTAGCCTATCTCGTACAATGTGCTAGCCAATAGAGTGTTATATAGTAGTAGTGTCACTATTTTCATAAATTCATGGAATTCTTCCATTGGATTTTGGTATATGGCAGAAAATAGCCTTTGTGGCAAACACATACACCTACTTTGTTTGTTCAGCAGGATAGTCTCCACACATTAACGCCACTTTATGACTTTGGAAGATTAATTGCAATCTCCAAATGTAGAAAGCTCATGTTAAGGCTATAAACAAACTACATCACTGTCGCATGGCTGCACATCAACAGCGCTAAGCTAAAGGCAGACTTGTGTCGGTGTGATGACGTTTTGTACTTTATTCAGTGACTTGTTAGCAAACGCCATTTTTATGACACATATAAGCTTTGGAAATGTGTTGGTACGTATTTTAAGAACAAAAGGTGAACATCTCTTAAGCTTCTGAAAATCTCTTAAGCTTTTGTTAACCAAATGCATCTCAGTGTTAAAATGCTAACTCATTTCCAGGGTTTAAGGACTCATTACTGCACCACTTTATTCCACAATCCCTTTTTTTTTAAAGGCGATCACTTCTTAAAATGTAAAGACAGATATTTGAGTCTTAATCATTAAAGTGGACCTATTATGCTATATTGATTAAACCACATCAAAGATTATTTCTGAAACAGTATGGAGCTCAAATGCTTTTTCTCTTGCAGGTTTATCACAAGGTGAGTTCCTTTTTTTATTTCCTGCTTTTTAAACACATGTGCTCTTCAATACAGGTTAGCTCTGAGTGTTAGCGAGGCTTGCTAATGTGAACAAAGACGAGATTACGTCCAAAACACGTCAGGCATTGTTTCTGATAGCAATTTTCTGTGGGTCCGCTGCCGATTTGACGTCAGATCGGCAGCAAATCTGTATCCGCTCGTTGTACCCCCGTTTTTAAAAGATTTGGGTATGGAGGAAAAGAGAGAGAGTTTTATTTTCTGACGCTGCGTGAGTTCCCCTACGCACCGGGGACACATATTTATGTATAAAAGACATCACAAAGTGCATTTTACATGATAGGTCCCCTTTAAGCTTCAAATGTTAAATAAAAGAATCAAAAAGACTCTTTTGGATTTATGCATTATTGTACATATGTTGCTGCACGCAAATATACCTGTGATGCCTTGGCTAGTGTTCAGAGATTCAGACGCTGCCAGACTATTTTGCTCTTTCCAACAGTTTCCTTCTCCAGAGGTGAGAGGAGACGTCCAGGCGGATCAAATATTAACCTGGCCTTAATTAGATGTCTCTCCCTCTCTTAGGAGGGTCACACTTGTCTGGTTGAATGCTGACAACCTCCCCTGCAGCACACTTGCTTTCCTTCTAAGTGTGTTTGGGCCACATGCCAGCAGAAAGAAGAAAACCATCTGCTATCTGCTAAGATGTTGTTAGTGAGGATGCTGGCAGCGCTGAAACATAATAAGCCAGTCATTAGGAACATTTCCTCCAGTGAGGTTCTTGATCATGTGGGACGCAGCAGAGAAATGTATTACAAGGGATTTGTAAAAAAGCTTTTGGGAAAATGTGTCTTAGTCTCTTGGAAAAAGAGTGATTAATTATAATGTGTCAGTTTTAACTGCTC